GCAGCTACTCTTCGGCTGGGCGTCCCAGGAGCACTGAGCAGGGCCTGCAGCTGCAGCAAGCTCTTTCCTGCATACATGTACGTACATTTCCTACAACTTCTGATTTAGCTTGATGGCTCATAAACGGGACTGTAATTACAAGTGGAAATATAGCCACGTCCTTGATTCCAACCCCATTCGATTAAGGTCCTTGGCTATAGATGCTTCCAATGCCCCCACAACAAAAACCATAAACTTAACATTCCAAACCAAACCACCCTCACGCCTACAAACTACGAAAATGCAGGATGCAGCGTTTGGGTTTGCAGACTCAGGGTTCAAGACAAACATGCCTTGAACAACTGCAGCAAAAGACTCTAAACCTTAAGCCATACGTGTGCCGAGGACACGTCTAGAGCTGCAGCTGCCCTGCCGCACGGGTCTTCAGACTAGGATTTGGCTTCAGAAGTAATTAAAGGTTTACCCTAAACCATATAGGGAGTTACCACTGTCCAGTGGGAATTCTTCGAATGTTGAATAATAAAGTTTTTTTCTTAGGGTGTTGGGTACCTACAGGGTGTGGGTAACGGAAACCATTGCGGAGGGTCGTAACGGGAACGACTGCGAGTAGAAACAGGAACCGCGCCTGCACTGTAACAAGAACCGTCCCGGGAAGCCCGGCAACCGAAACTTGGTGGAACTCGTGGATGAAGTCTTGTCTGGGGGACCGGTTTTCGGTCCCCTACTTTGACACCATTAAAGCCTTATACTGACGGCTATATTTCGTTCAGTTGCAGTAGGAATAGCAGTAGCAGTAGCGGTAGCAGTAGCACTAGCACCACAGCAGTAGCAGTAGCACTAGCAGCAGCACTAGCAGTAGCACGAGCAGTAGCAGTAGTAATGGCAGTAGTAGTAGTCGTAGTAGTAGTAGTAGTAGTAGTAGTAGTAGTAGTAGTACTACTACGAGCAGAACTGTGGGAGGCAGTAGTAATTCAACCGGCACCCCGGACGGTAAGGGGGGACGGCCGGGAGATGTACAAGCAAAATGAAAAACACGACTTCGTCGGCATCAAATGCCGTGGCAAGGTTCCTAAACGCAGGCTACTTTCGGTGGAATTCAGGGTCTTGGGTGTTGGGTTGGGCTGGGCAAGTGAAGTCTTTGAGAAGTATCGAGTCTAAACCCTAAGCCCGAAACAGCAAAAGAAAACACTCTCGTTCGTTCTTGGGTTCAGGGCGTCGTCTCCAGCCCATACATCTGGGATAAATTGGTGTGGGTTCAGAAGGTCAGATGTAGCTTTGAGTAGCAGGGTTGAGCACGAGTTACAGCTACTTGTGCCCGCAATTCCCCCCAACTGCAACGCCACCTGCGGTGCTTCAAAGACCTCGACCAAGCTTGCACAACTTGACCTTTTTAGCCTGCATCACCAGGGATCAGAACACGAAACGTTGAAATGAGACTTCTAGAGCTGAGACGAAGTTTGCCAAGAGGTCCAGGATTGGGCTCGAGCAAAGCTCACTTCAGGAAGGGGAAGTGGTGGACGTCAAAGGCCACGGCCTGAGTGAGGCAGCCACCCACTGCGAGCATCGCGAGGCGTCCGTTCTTAAGCTCCTGGGTTCGCACCAGCTTCATGCCCTCCTCGGTGCCCGGTGCCAAGCCCCGCAAACC